CCTGCTCTTACCGATATGACTTCAAAACTTCCTCTTGAAACATTTTCAAAAAACAGCAAGCTTGGTCATTTGCCATTTACCTACATGCATGTAAACAACGACACAGATTATCCCCACTGCTTGTGTAATACAACTATTAATATAAGGAAAAGTGAACACAAACTCGCCGCGTATGCAAGTCAGACAAAACGTTGGCTTAACTACACAACAAGACTTCCGCCATCTTTATTGCAGCCAGGCAAACCAATCTCCCATCAACTATCTCTATTAATTCACAACTAAATTCTTTTAGGTACAAAATATATAGTATGTAGGGTACAACAACATTATAGATTATAAGTAACATGTAACAGCTACTTTTGTAGTGAACATACATTTTAAATCACATTTACAAATGTCACTAACAAGCAAGAGAAATTTAGTCGCATTGGTTACACTGTACACGCTTCATATATTTAATGGCTTAGCTACTAGAGGTCTGTAGTGTTTATACAATTGCGACCCATGAATGTATTTTTTGAATGATTGTGGATTGTATTTGGCAAAAGCAATGTGTGAGGTGAATAAGCTTTCTTTTGTACTGTCTCTAATTGCAATGACTGGCGTTTTCGTTTTGACGAAAAATCACAAAATCGGTGGCCACAATATGGGTTGGTTATGCAAGAGGATAACAGATCGGGTGGTGTTCGTATTTCATTGAAACAACGACTTTATAAACGTTCATTGTTTCTCTCCTAGAGCAATCTGTTCCAGGAATCAAAACATACAGCGCGAACGCGTATCCCCTTTGTCTGTCTAGAATTGGATTTTATCGAATTATTACCACAGAAACAAATTGTAAGCGTATCATGAGAACTCAGCTTTCTTCATCTTTAGTATATTTTGAAATAACTTTAATACCCCGCAAAATGTAGGGCTGTTAGGTACTGTTTAAATGCTTTAAACTTGTATTCTGTCCGTACCAGATTCGAATATCAACAGGGTTAACGGGTATTGTCACTTAAGTATATCGCCCATTCGGCCCATTGGGGATTTTAGACCCTTTCGGCCACTGAAGCCCACTCTGACCTTGGAAACAAACAGCCCAATCTATCAATCCGCCATAAACTAACCTAGCCTAAACGAACCTAACCTAACAACGTACATATACAAAATTGGCCTTTGTGCCATTTCGGCCCTTTTAGCCCATTTGAGCCAGTTAGGCCCTCTAGACAATTTAGGCACTCTTGACCATTTAAGCCCTCTGGCCCATTTAGGTCCTTTAGACCATTTAGGCAGTTTAGGCCTTTTGGAATTTTAGGCCCCTTTGACCATTTAGGCCCTTCTGACCATTTTGGCCCTTTGGACATTTCAGGCCCTCTGGCCCATTTAAGCCCTTTTGACCATTTAGGTCATTTTGGCACTTTTCACCATTTAGGCATTATGGCCCATTTAAGCCCTCTGGAAAATTTAGGCACCTTTGACCATATAGGCCCTCTGATCCATTTAGGCCCTCTGGACTATTTAGGCCTTTTTGACCATTTAGGCCCTTTGGACATTTTAGGACCTCTGGCCCATTTGGGCCCTTTTACCATTTGGGCCCTTCCGACATTTTAGTCCCTCTGGAACATATAGGCCCCGTTGGACATTTAGGCCCTTTAGACATCTATCCTAACTCATCTTAACCTAACCCAAACATTCCTAACCTGTCGTAACTTCATCTAACGTATTGCAAAGTTGCCAAAATTAACCGAGCGTAACGTACACTGCGTTCCAGCGTTTTTGGCCGCTGAACTTTTGTGAAAGGAGCGAGTCAGTTAGCAGAAGTTTTCTGGAAGGGATGGCAGCAGGCCGCTTACAGTACACTCCAAATAAAATATCACCACGTTATGTAACACAGGAAAGACGATTTCACTACACTACACATCACTAGAAAATTAACACTGCAGAGAGTATTATATAGTTTTATCTTCTTCACGTCTCTTCGGTCCTCTTCCAATTCTTCCACTCCTCACAGACCATCGCTTTCTGACATATCACTCGATTCATCACTACAGCTGCTGCTGTTCACTCCATTATCTTCAATTATAATACGTTCAATTGCGTCTTCGATTATGCCTTCTTGCTCATAATA